AACTGGTCCTGGACACCACCAGTAGGTTAGGCACATGAACAACTCCTAACCTCAATTCACCAGTTATCACTTCAGACTCAGTAAGGAGTAGTAGGAGGTAGAGTGGTTGGAGAGATACCACTAACAGCTAATAGCCAACATCTAACAGCCATGTGTAAACTGGAAGTTTTGATTAGAATTTAATAGGAATCCAGAACGCCAGGATCACGGAAAGGCACCAGAAATCTCCTCGGAATGTTATAAAAATGAGGAACACTTACGTGGTTGGAAGGTGGTTGTTTGTGTAGTCGTCCACTCCAGATTGAGCAGACGATGGCAAGGTGGTCGTTCTGCCGGTTGGAATCCGAACAAGTCGATAGTTTAAGAACTCACACACAAGCGATGATGACGATGATGACTCAACACAACATCAGAATCTTCAACTAGAATTACAGATGATCATATAATCCCCCAGAGTAGGGTTACTTCCTTATTTGGGAAGTTAACAGGAATAATCACTGCACCAGACAGAAGCAGCACCTAACAGTGATTCGAGATGATTCTGGAGGAATCCAAATTCGATCAATTACCAGGGTCTTCCCCAATGGGAACATTGCCATTATTTGATTGCCCTTGAGCTATAACCTGGAGTAATATGTGAAACAACATTCCTCATGTGAACCTGAGTGAAAAAAAAAATTTATACAGCATTCCATACTTGCTCCAGAAAGGATGAATGATGCAGCGAAGCGAACTTCTGCGACGCCACTGGTGAAAATAGTGCACGCACTCTGGGGCTCTATTCTCGAACCGTTCGAATGTATACGAATGAAGAAAGATGCACTTATGTATGTGACGTATATTGAAGTGAAGTAGAAGATCGAACTCGTATACGAATATCGCTCGAGAATAGACCCCCAGGACACTTGACAGTCATGGAATAACGTCATGTGGTAGCTCAGATGCACGGTAGGCATAATGTACGATTTAATGTCATTTTTGTCATTTGATATCATTATCGACATTTTTCATGAGTTCAATTGAACTTACTGTCAAGTAGTCAAGTCAAGTACATGTAGCAGTTGTAGAGCACATTGAATCTCACTTGTTTTCACTTTCTTGAATAATGAGATATTGATTGCAGTTATAAAGTGGTTACGAAAGATTTGAAATATTTTAGTAGCTCGATATGATTTTCTCTGAATTGAAGTATCTAGTGTAAAGACTATTTGCTGTAGCTTTGAATAGCTCTGGGCCAAGGTATGGTGATGAACTTTTCTGGATCTTGATATGGTTTTATTCATCTAGTTAATTTTTCACCACTGTAATTCGAGAAGATATGATATTTGTGTTACTATTTGAATAGTTCTTGGAAAATGTAAGTACATGTTATGCCACATAACACGGGCCACCCCTTATATGGTGAACTGGAATAGATTCAAGAACCATGATCAAAGTTGTTCATATTCATGTTAATATATTTTTTAAGATAACGTCAACTATAGAGAATGATCCATATACCTGTGACGAACCAGATATACAATTTTTTGATTGAAAAACCCAAAGTTCCATTTCTACCTTAAACAAAGCTCAGGAAGACGGATTCAGTGATGTATGATGAAATCATTTCACCCGTTTCGGATTTATCCCTGATTTTCTCCCATAAATAGCCAAATTTCAAATCGCTATTATAGAAACGTTGAGAATCAAGTTTTCGATGCATAGGTTCTGTAATGAATCAACATATTCTATATTCCATATTGATATTCCATCAATTTTCGAAAATGTTTAATTTGTCGAAAGAAATGACGAATTTTGTGAACCCATAATTTTCTCGAAATTTCGATATGGAATATCCTGTTTCTCATTTCATCCTCGAATCGAGCTCACAGAGACGAGTTCAATGATATATGATAATATTGGTCTGAGAACACCCGTTTAGGACTTATAATAGGTAGTATAAATTCAGAATCTAGTAGAAGCGTTGGCGATCAAGTCCTGCATGCGCGTTCCTCCATTATCTTATGATAGTAATAGAGACCCATAACGAGAAATGCGCATGTAGAACTCTCCACAACGTTTTTAGAGTGTTTCGAAATTAGACTCTTTATTGAAGGTGATCATGAATAAGTCCGAAACTGGTGTTCGCAGACACATGTTATCACATATCATCAGACTCGTTTTCCTGAGCTCTATTATAAGACAAAATGAAATACAGAGTAACCCATTCGGAAATTCCGAGAAAATGATGGGTTCGCAAAATACGTCATCACTTTTGGCGAATTGAGAATTTTTTAATATTGACAAAATATCAAGATAACATATATAATTTGGTAGTTCATGACGTGAACTGCTCATCAAAAACTTGATTATCAACTTCTCTATAGGACTTTGGAATTTGGCTATATAATGTAGGGGTTTGTATAATTATAAACAACTTCGATTTGCAATTGTTTTTGGATCTATTCTAGTTCACCAGATAAGGGGATGGCCCATGTCATGTAGGATATCCTGTACTCTTCCAAATAGTTGGTTCTTCTATTTATCCAAATGAGAGAGTATTTTTTTATATTGAGTGGCGCCCTCTCTACTTGAAATCAAGTTTTCAACATTTCTCACGAATCAATTTATCTGTTCTCTCGCGAAAAGCTGGCTTTCGCACGGATGACTCTGTTTACTCCAGTCCTGATTGGAAAAATTCATTATCGAAAAGTAGGCCACAACATGCGATTATAGCAAATGGAGAAGAATACATAGAAAAACATAGAATACGAATATCTCGTTGAGAAATCAAATCCTATCAATAACAATTATTTTCGTAGGTTTTTATTCAGTAGTAGGTAGTTGTTTATATTTTGATGATAAAATTAACTTTTAATCGATGTTTTTCATTCGTTTCCAGTATTTCATGGGTCGATTCATACATTTTCTCATTCTCAGACACTCAACTTCCTTCTAGATTCTATTCTAGAAACGTGGAAATCATCATGTATCTGATTCCCAACTGAATCTTAGGTAATGTTATCTTGATATATCAACAAAGAAGTTGTAGGTATTCTTGTATTTTCAGTGCCTTTTTTTCAATTTCTATAATATTGTAGTTTGTCATACATGGGTATATTGAAATATAAATACTGAAGTCATTACGACTGATAATTTCTCAAAATTATTGCCTACCATCAATTATTCTAAAATGTAGGGCAATATGGTATACATTGCTGTGAAGAAAATTATCAGCCCTATTCAATAAAAAAAAGTGATAGCACCAATGAAGAGAAAAACAGGAGTTGCATGGTGAATACCTAAAATTCATTTTCTTCATTATGATTGATCACCTGCTGACGCGAAACTTCTACTTTTTTCCTCGAATATTGATCATAAAAATGAATAAACATGATAACAGTGATTCTCAGTTTTTCCAAATATTTCAGGAACAGCTGAATTGTTTTCGAATTGTGAAATGTCATATTGAAAGGGTTCAAATCACACAGCGTCCGTCTCAGTTGGTTCACTCTCATTCTCTCACCGTTTACGAAAAAGAAATACTGTCCTATGAAATCAGCTGTATATAATAGTAGATTGTTTTATTAGGATCAAAAGTGACACTTTGTTTGATAAGCGAATTTTGCATTTGCGAGGCGGAGCGTTTAGCGAAGCCGACGAAAGCAAAATTTGCGAGTCGAACAAAGTCACTTTTGATCCGAATGAAACATACTATTTTTTCTGCAACCGAAACAATTAACTCAAATAAATATGTGAAGTTACCACCAATGCCGTGCCATATGTATGCAATGCAACAAATATTGACAAATAATCCGTGTAGTGAGAACATTCTACCTGCATCAACAGCAGGTTCATTCAATTTTCAAGGATGTTCGAATTGTAGTTTCAATATAAGTACAATTACAGAGTGACATATTTGTGTATGGACCAGGTGCTCTAATAGCAAATACCGCGCCAGTGCCAGCTATAGAAACAAGACGTGGAAAATGTTAGGTTAATGAGCATATCAACATTCAACAATGATAATGGCGATTATTTACTCCTCTCTATAATACAATGTTTTTCGCTTAATAATCAAATGAAACTAAACAATATCGTTGTTTGAGACAAAAAACTATTGCTTGCCGTGATTATATAAAAACAAGTTATCCATCCCGAGAATAACGAATGAAATACAGATCAAGCAAGTATTTGAATCTTGAAGGCTTCCCAGATAAAACAAAAATACTCAGCTGAGATGTTCATAATTTCAATACTAAACTATAATAAGGTGTATTCATATCTCCAGCATGGGTATGAAATTCCAAATCTGCTGAAATCGGAAACAAATCAGGTATGCGTCTCAACCCAAATAACCAACCTTCACAATGTTGTTCATTCTTGATGACGTCCAGTACTTCATTTTTAGTTCCTAGGAGCTAAAGTTCAACTTCAGCTCCTAGGAACTAAAATTCAACTTTAGCTCCTAGGAAGTAAATATGTTGCCTTGCAATCTACCTATTTTTGTGTCAGTAATAGAAACGTCAATTTAAGAGCTAATTTCAGTATCAAAATGGACGACTTTTGTGTCGGTTGCAGAAAAAAATGTTTTTTCAGAACTCTATTTGTCATGATTATGAATGATCAAAATCTGAGGATGATGATGATGCTGCATAAGATGATAAAACAATCCTCATTTACAAAATAAACTCATTTCTATGCAGATTATTATTATAAGCATCTAAGTAGCGTCACTGGTTTTTCATCTTGATCTTGCATGATTATTACAAATCGTCAAGTGACTCAAGGTAGAGATGAAGAGGTGTATCATAAACCAAGTTACCCAATCAATCGTCTCATTCCTTGATCATTATTCCTCTGAGTGAGTATCCAGCAGTCAAATCGATCTCAACCGTACAATATCAATAATTGGCAATGTTTCAGTTGATGTTCAAGGCTTTCAACTTCCTAATAAAGATATTGAGTCATACGAACTTCCATTATATAAATGAATGTTTCATTGGTTTACAGTTCCCAGAATGGATCATCATTCTATTCCGAAGATTGGATTCAATTCAGCAAGCTGCACTCCCGAATCAGGATTCCTACCAAGCATCAATTCGAAGAAAGCAGTTACATTGGAACTCAGTCATGGAAACGACACACAAATCATTTCATTGCCTACTGAGAAACTCAACGAGAATAAGAGATATTATGTGACTTTCACTGTTAAAGGTCATGAAGCACCTGAAGACAATATGAGCAACATTGTTAATGATGATACGGCACATAGACATTCTAGAAGTAATTGATTCGTACCTCAATAACACTCAATCCATAATGTTCAATCAGGTTTACTGAAACATTCCTTCATATAGAAATTGGGAAAAAACATGCAGAAGAAGGTATTTTTGTAGAGAATATGTGAACGAACAAAGTACCCAGTCCTTTATTACTGCTGCACATTATATAGTGGTGACTGTGTGACTGCTATGAGGTTATATTAGCTAAAGTGACTCTTCATTATTGATTATCATATTGATATCTAAATATATAAGTTTCCTGATACGGATGATAGTGAATGAATTCGTTGTATGAATACTTGTGAAGCTCTGAAAAGATATGGACACTCATTATACATATACATAGACTTAGTCATAAAAACCTCCGTCTGGGAAAATTATTTGCTATCGGTACCCTCCGCAATAAAATCATCAACACAGAAATAATGATACTGTTGAGCGCCCCGAATTATAAATAGGGTTCAAAGGAGTGATTTCCTGAATTATTACACGACATTCAGCCAATATATTCTGAGAAGATATCTGAATATATCTCACAAACTGATATACAACATCTGTTTAAGAAGGTTTCATCTGGATAAAATCAGCTGAGATATTTTCGGATTTTTTATAAGGTGTCTATTGTTTTCTGCTTCCTTTTATTCTGTCATGATTTTTTCTGTCCGGATTTTCCTCCATCTCTCCAAATTTCTTGCGCAAATACTAGCATAAGTATCCATTGTTGGAGGTTGGCACTATGAAAGTCCAGTGCATGGACATCCTTTGAGATTGCATATTTTTCTGTCTTTTTCTAAAGAAACAGACATTCAACCTTCTGGCTAGAAAAGGGATATTTCAAGTGATATTTGGAGAGTTTTCAATCTATTTATCTCTCTCTTTCTATTTATCTAGTTCATATAAAATACCTACATATGTTGATGTGTGTGAGGTATAGATGAATAGATAGATAGATAAATAGAATTCTCAGTTTCATCGATAGATAGATAGATAGATTGAGAGATAGATATTCATTTCCCAAGATAACCATCCACAATTTCCAATACAATAATGACATATTAACAGAATCACCAGATGCCAAATAGGCTTCAGGAAATGGTTGCCGTCTATTTCATTATATTCAAATATATTGATAATTATCAGCTTGAGTAAAAACTTGCAAGAAATGATAATAGTGAATTTTGTACAAAAAATGTATTCAAAAAGAACATTATGAATCAGCGAGGAAGTTATTACTGAAGAATGCTGTGGTGTCGTGAAAAACATGGCGGTGTAGAAATTTCTTCAGCTCAGATTCGAATTTCCTAACTGTACTATTTTTGAAGCATTCTGGGAGATGATTATAAATCTTGATTCCCATATATAGAGGACCGTTTCGTGTTCAATTATATCTATAGTTTGACAATGTAAGTGATTGGTTGCGTGTCGCGTAAAAATGTTCGTCCGAAGAGCGAGTAATTTGGAATTTTTTTTATGTATCAACAGAGATACTTCATGAATATAAAGGAAGGTGAGTGTGAATATTTTGTGATTCTTGAAATGATTAGTAATGAAGCAATTGAATATGTAGAGCTCAGACCAAAAAGTAAACGGATTGCTCTCTTTTGAATAATGAAAGTGATACTTGACTGAACAACAGTGCCCCAGAATTCGAATCCATACTGTGAGAAACTATGGAAGTGAGCATAGCAACTTCCAGATTGGTACTCGGTTTGATAGTTCATGAGGCGAATGTAGCTTTGGATAATTTTCCATTCAATTGACTTATGTGTTAAGCCGACGATAATTTTTTGTCAATTGACATTCCCAGAAATTTGGTCGACTCTTGTGAATTGAGTAGTGTTTCATTTAGAGTTATCTCGATGTTTGGGGTGTGAGCATATAGACTGAAGAGTATGCAGTGTATTTTATTGATGTTATGAAGATCCCTCATTAAAATCTCGTATTTCATGGTTAAGATATCTTGATTATTAATGTGGAGTAGTCAACACTAAAAACAAGACACCTGAATAGATGCATCGAATAGTTGAAGCACCAGAACAACATGAAGTGAATGAAAGGAATTAATCCATTGTCTCGAAAATCAGCAATTCAGTGAAAGGTCTCTAAACTCATTGATTTGTTATTTTGAACTCAAGTTCCGTACCATCTATTTTTCATTCGCAGCGTCATCTGTGTGAGCATGATGACAATATAAATGATTTTCTGAAATAGAAACGATTTTTCCTAACCAATGATGATGATTTTTTCATATAGGAGCTCATGGTTCAATAACATCAATAACTTTCTCGGCTTATGCGAGAAAATCGAACGTGAGTCATATGTGGGAACCATGTTCTGAATTAAAAATATTTTGAGATCAATTCTTACTTAAACAGAATAAAAAAATGAGAAAAAATCATAAGAGAATGTATGGAGGTACTCTATTCCTTGTATTTATGTGAAAAATTACACAGGTGAAGCAAATAGACCTCACTCAGTGAAGACGGACGAGACTCTGTACATTATAAGATGAATTGACCAAAATTCATTCAACGGTAGTCATGTCACTTATGGAAAGAATTCGAATCAATTTAACGGAACTCGACAGATGATTTTGTGTCAACTACTCATTCAAAAAGTTGAGAAGTAGTAGACAGTCAGTTTGACTCCTTACAGAATCACAAATATATCTTCTCTCGTAGGAGTAGGAGAAGAGATAACAAAAATAGTTTCATTTACCAAGAGTGAGCATCATAGTATATGGGTAACACTGCTTGCCGGCATTCGAAAACTCACCGAAATCTCCTAAGAATTCCATGCATTTTCGGATTATTTGTCTAGAAAAGTATTTCCAAGAACATAATATAATCTCCAGCAGTGGTGAAAAAGTCCAATACTGACCTCCTCTTCCTATCATTATAGGGATTCCCGTTTATACGCCTCTAGAGATGAAATAAAAAATTTGTTGACAATCTCCACGGATTCAGAATCGTACGTTGAATTCACGTCAGACACATTCTCAACCTGAAGTATTCATAGTCTCATTTGTCTCATTCTCTATGTATTTTCCATGAATATTGAGGTATCGTATGATACCTCACTTCGTGAATTTCAGAATCCCATCTCATCGAACAGGACTGCCTTCATTGAAAGTAGAACAGTGGTGAATCTTCAAGAACTGAGGAATTTCCTGAACGAAGTGGTACCTATCTACAGTAAATATGTCTTGATATCCAATTCAGATTGGTTTTCAACCTATACTCATGACAGAATACGATTATCTGATCTATAATCATTTTACAAAAGCGCGTCAGTCTTTTCATTACTGCTGATAAGCAGTATAATTCATTGGTGATTTGAACGTTCGATCAATGCTTGTATACATTGCTGTTTTTTCTCAACCAAACATAAGACGTACTTGAAGTTCTGAGGAAGACACTGATCTAAAAATTTGTATACAGGGGCTATCAATTGAGTCCTGTCCGTTGAGAATATATTCAAGATGGCAGTACTTTCGATTTTGACGAGAGTGAACCAAAACTTTGTAATTTCAAATAGAGAGCCATGATTATAATTGCTTTCCTCGATTCCTCATTTTCAATATGATCTTCATCATAACGTGAGGAAGTCGGCAACCTTTCACTTTCCTATATATACTTTTACGGAAAATCTGTTCGGCTATCAACCTTGAAATATGTCGAATAACACTCAACCAAAACTCATTAGTCCATGGAACGGCAAAGCTCCGAAATTCTCTGCCAATGGTAGTATTTTCAAGAACTTATGACCTCCAAAATTAGAAAAAACATTACAACATATACCTCTCTCGAATTCTCTCTCGTATTCACCTTTCTCTTCGAGAGTCGATAACTCTGACAATTTCTTATGTGTCGGAATCATTCTTGATCGTCAGTATTGATTCTTTTTTCGATAGTTCAGTAATTCTGGAAAAATGATTGAAGAACTGTCAAATTTGGACATTTGGAAAAGTTCAAATAGCCATAACTAATTCTTCCCATCCGGAATGCTATAATTTTTGTCTACAAAATAAAGGAGAATTTGATTTCGCATCAATCTGTATCAAAGTTCCCTATACCTTTATCTGATAGTTTTCAAGTTATGATGGTACTTGTTCTATATTATATCTGCATGTGAATGAGAACTGTCATAATTCTGTTCGATAAACTCATTTTTACTGTGACGGGAAAAGAGTTTGGCATTTCATCTCTGTTGGCAGGTTATAAAATGTCACTTTTCATAAATTACTTTTTTCCCGTGGGAAAAAAGTGAGTACTTCTTGCTTTGATATATATCACATATACTGTTGATGGCTTTTATTGTGCTATATTTCCAAAAATATCAGTCAATTATACCGTCTCCAAGAAAGAACTGCAAGTCCTTTTATCTTCCATTCGACTCCGCGGTTACTGTTACTGTTGAAAACTCAAAATATCACGTCGATAATCCTCAGAATTCAAAATGATGTGATATTTCTCCAATATTGATTCTTCTTTTATTCTGTCGCAGAAGAAAATGGTATATTAAACACGGGAAAATATTAGATTCAAGCTCACGGTTTTTTGTCTCCCGACGCGTAGCTCCAATCTGGAGCTGAAATCAACTACTTTTTTCCCTCGTATAATGAATAACTATTTGATTTGATCACATCATTATTTATTGTGACAATTTTTTTTATGTACTGGTTCCCACAAAAAAGGACATCCTATAATGAAAAATCGAAGTTATTCAAATCGATTCCTGATAAATTCAGTTGGTATGTAATACAGATAAAATAAATAATTTAATCCGACAAGGATATGAAATATATGACCCATTTTTACATCCTATCCCAATACATTTACCAAAGTTCACGAGAGGGATAGACCAAAAAAAAATATGAATAATATGAATTAATAAATATATATATAAATGAATGAAATAAAATAAGTTGAAATAAAAAGTGGAAGAGGAAAATAATCATCAAATAATGTCCAATGGGACAAAACTAACATCACTAACGTAAATTAACA